CTAGGGTAGTAGCTAACTCTACAGAAAAACATTAGTTCAGATCATCAGATTTCAGAAAAGCAGGCCATTCCCGAAATGGTTAGTTGATTCCAACACAGGCTCCACTGCCATGTAATTTTTTTTTTAATCAATACAAGTCTTTCCTCCACGCTACAAAGTCCACAGAGCAGATATGACCTCAGGCACCATATAACAGTCATTCTTTCAGGAGCATTTGTCTGTTTTCCCACTCAACAATCTTCCACTGAAGCCAACTCAAGGTATTTACTCCCCCTCCCAAGAAGACAGAGGTGCACCCCAGAATTACTACTAGTATTTCTTACTGGTACCACTGGAAACAAATGCATGTTTGGCAATAAAACCAGCACAGCAAGGAACTAGAGAAGCAACCAGTCGGGTCGTGGCACAGCAGCCATCCTTGACACATTCCATTCTTTGGCCTGGAACCTCGTCCATACTTCTTGGATCTGCTGGGTCCTCTCCCCAACCTGCCTCCTACCTTTCGTTGTTGCTTTTCCCAGGCTGGATCAAGCAGCAAGTCACGGTCCCAGTCTTCCTCCTGTGCCATGTACTCATCAGTCACCATGTAGGAGTGGTTGTATTGGATGTGTGTTTCTATCTGCGTCATGTTGTCTTGTTTTGTGAAGCCCTTTCCTCTGTGCCTATTCTCTCCTACAATTCACACAGTCCCCCCTTGCTCAAGCTTTCACTCTCCCTTTCTGTTTGCTCCCCTTTCAGCTCCCCTTAGAGGTCAAGATCCCCCAAGTCCTTCCAGGCTGTGTGTCTGCCTGCTTCGCAGCTGCACCTGTCAAAACCAGTCCACGTGACCAGTCCTCAATAAGTATTATCAGCCCTCAGAAGGGAGATCAGGTTCCATCTTAAAAAGGCCATGGGGAGGGGACAGCACAAGTGTTCCTACCAACTAGATGGGGGTGGTGAAGACAACTGTTGGGAAGCCAAGTATTCCCCCTTAAAGCAGATCCACGGGCTCTTAAAAAGGAAATTGCCCCAGCGGGCTGAATGTTCTCTCCCACAAAATCTGTGCCAGACCCAGGACGGTGTTGAGAGCAAGAATCTCTGGGCAGGGTGGAAAGTTCCCATTTTCAGTACCGCAAAAGAGGAAAAATCTTACTCAGAGCACTGATACTAACCTTCCACTGAGGTACAAGGGAAGATTTTTGACATGCTGTCAGATTCAAGAATAAACGTATGGCTAATAATGAAAAGGATCAGGTGGACTCCATACTGAGAAAGAAGTAAGGCCAAATTAGTTTCTAGATGTTCTCTTATGACCTTGGACTGCAACCATGTTTCCCAAATAGATACTGAAATTTCCTAGCATTTCCTATCACAACAACCAAGGAACTTGAGTTCTTCTTGAGATCCTGGCACTTTGTCCTCTGAACTGTTTTTCCAGATGGATGGAATATTGCATCTTTCTTTTTTTCTAAGTAATAAAGGAAAAACTTTCTGCATATGTTCATTCATGTATCTATTTCACATGGTCTATGTGTGATGCCCAGATATTAAAACCAGATGCCACACGTTTCATATCTCATGTTTGGAATTTAAGAAATTGCTGTTATTACCATCCTTCTTATAGAAAAGGATACCCCTTCCTTACTAGAAGTATTGCAAGAAATCAGCCTCCCCCTGTACTTTAAAGAGATAGGCTTGTCACATCTCCCGGAAAGTCCTTTGTTACATTTGGATGTCTGAAATCCTCCCAATGAGCTTTAAAACTTGCCAGAAGAAATATCTGTCTTGAGGACATTTCAGGAGGACAGAAAAAGGTTTCAAAACTGATCTTATTCTATCTAGGATATCATGAACTCAGATTTGGGTTAGATTCCAAGAGCTTTTTGCTTCTTTATATTTCACCAACATTTACATAACTCAATGAAGTCTCAGTTCATTTGCAGGCTGCTCCTGTTACACAGGAGTTATTCTTAGGATCAGTGAGAAAGGGCTTGTGAAAGATACTGAATACCTAGAAAAAAACACTTCAAGATCTAATTTAATGTTTTAAAGTAAACTAAATTTAGACAAAGGATTTTAATCCACTGCTTAAAATCACACTTCTATAGCATATTATTACTTATTTCAAGTTATAGGTATCAGCCCACATACCCCCCCAAAAAAGAGTACAAACAGATAAGCAAGATTCTATGCTTTCTGGCTTTTTAGCAATGTTTTCCCAAATTCTGAGAGTTGAAAGCAAAGCACTTAAGCCAAGGTCCTTTCAACTTCCAGGACAAGTCCCTGCAGCTTTCTCAGCAAGTTTTTCCCAGTGGTTTGCCTTTGCCTTTTTCCCCACAGACAAATAAACTACAGTAACCAGCCCAAACCCAGGCTTCCCCACCTTACTGTCTAGTATGGTGGTTTGTGTACACCAAACTAGCTCTCAATTTATCTCATCTGTTTTTTAACCAATGATATTCCTCCCAATGGGAGGTGCACCATTCCTGGAGGTACTGCAATACCAGGCTGATGCATGGAGTGGATGGAGCAAGCCCCTATTCCATCTCCCAGCTCCAAAAATCCATTTAATATTTAGTCCTCAAATAGAGGACATATCAGATATTAAACTGATAAGAACAGATACTACACTTGATCTTAGCCAAAAGGCCGAGAAGCGATACCTTCCTCTTTCCCAGCATCCCAAGACATTCTTTCCGAGGAAACTTTACGTAACTATGAGCAAATGCCTTCTGGAAAGTATTCCCTGTCACATCAAAATTAGCACTGCTTGCCATCTCATCATATACATTCTGATAATATTCCTATTTCCACTGTCCAAGTTAACAGCCTTCTGTTGTGAAATTTAATTATAAAAATTATGAATTCTCTCAGAGACACTGATTTCTTGATTTCCTGCCTGCTACGTCTGACAGCTACTGGTGCAATATCTGCATATGCCTTCCCATTTCCCCCATCATGCTCTTGTGTTTGTTATCTCAGGACTTACCAATAGAGGTCTCAGTTTTACTCTGAAAGTTTCTTGTTTGGTGAGCATTCTGAGAAAAGAAAAAAATAAAAGATAATGGCATAAAGACATTTCTTGCACGAAACTTCCTGGATTTCACGTTTGTCCAAAAGCAACCTAGTAGCAAAGACAAATGTTTCTGAAGTTTTGCTCGCTGTTCCCTTCAAGCTTTGAGCATGGAATATGTAACTTATTCTGAAAAATACACTGGTTATTTTATTCCTTAAACAAATGCATTCCTGCTACAGATTTACTTGCTATGCTTCATACACATCAAAATGAAACAGCACCAATCATTGGGAGGGAGTAGCCTTGAGTGCCCTATGGATGGAGAAGCAGAATACCAAATTCAACAATAAATGTGGAGTCCTTGGGGTTCTCTGAGCTTGGTTCTTTTCTTGCAAATGTTTCATTACCC